CCGGAGGCAGCTGGGGGGGGAAGAGGTTGAGAGCTGTGTGTCTCCACTTTTTCCTGCCCCCCGGGGGGAGGGAAGGGGTGTGTGTGTGTGGGTGTGTGTGCGCGCGCGAGCTGCTGGTGCCAAATGCCCGCTAGTTCCCCATGTGGCCTTGCCCATGGGAGAGATCTTGGGGGAAGAGGCAGGGTTGGGGCAGGGGCAGGGCGGAGGCAGCTGGGGGGGGAAGAGGTTGAGAGCTGTGTGTCTCCACTTTTTCCTGCCCCCCGGGGGGAGGGAAGGGGTGTGTGTGTGTGGGTGTGTGTGCGCGCGCGAGCTGCTGGTGCCAAATGCCCGCTAGTTCCCCATGTGGCCTTGCCCATGGGAGAGATCTTGGGGGAAGAGGCAGGGTTGGGGCAGGGGCAGGGCGGAGTAGGGGGAGAGGCTGGTTAGAGATGGGGTCGGGGCAGAGAAGAGAAGGACTTGTCCTGACATCCCCTGGGCCGGGGGGGCCTGGGGAGGAGTCACGTGGGGGGCGGTCACAAGGCAGGTGAGCCCCTGAGCCCCCCTCCTCAGCACTCTCCCCTGCATGGGGCCGGATCCAATGCATCCGGAGAGCGGAGGGAAATGGCTGAGGCCACTGCGGAGCCGTCGGCCATTCTCTGAGGTCTCGTGGTGGCCCCGGACGGGTGGAAGAAGGCAAATGTAGGCCCATCCCGGAGCAGGCCCTCGAGGGACCCGTTCTGGAGCACGTGGAGAGAGGGAGGTGACCAGGATTCACCAAGGACAAGTCCTGCCTGACCTGATTGCCTGCCGCGCTGGGGGAACCGGCTCCATGGACATGGGAAGAGGGTGGATGTGACCTACCTGGACCTTAGCACAGCGTGTGTTACTGTCTCCCCAGTTAAAGGCGGCCAGGCTGGACGAACGGACTGTGAGCTGGCTAGATCACTAGGCTCAGCAGGTAGCGATCGACGGCTCGATATCTGGAGTGCCACGGGGTCAGTCTTCTTTAACACTCTGGAGGGGCTGGTTGCACCCTCAGCAAGTTCCCGGATGGCACTACGCTGGGGGAGAGGCAGATCCGCTGGGGGGCGGCGATAGGGCCCAGAGTGACCTGCACAAATCGGAGGACTGGGCTAAAAGAAATTCGAGGAGGTTCCCCAAGGACAAGTGCAGGCTGGGGACCGCGGGGCGAGCAGCCGTTCGGCAGAAAAGGCGCTGGGGGTTCCAGCGGAGGAGAAGATGGAGAGCAGTCGACAGGGCGCCCCTGTAGCCAAGAAAGCTTGTAGCTGGGCAGAGCACAGCCTGGCACCCCCTGGCTCCACAGCCCGCCGAGGCGGTAGCAGGCCCCAACACTGGGTGTCCGGGAAGGAGACGAGGGTGAGGACAGACATGGAGCACAGAGGCGTGGGTCAGAACGCGGCAGAGCGGAGCAGGGCCACCCTGAGGAGGGCCAGGGCCCAAGCTCTCCTGCTCAGTCGTTCTTAGCGGCACCTTTTCAGACTAGCACCTAGATCCCTTCACCCCCGCAATCCAGGGCTGCACGCAGAGGCCTCCCAAGTGTTGCTTGGAGCTGGGGAGATACGGAACGGTTGTCCTGGCTCAGGACAGTGGTTGAGAGTTTCTGAAGTGTCTTTCACACCCAGAAGGAGAAGAAGTTGAAAGTTCACGGGGTGTCCTAACCCCACAACACACAAATCACCCGGCCGGATTCGTGGAAGGGTTTTCTTTCCACGCTTTGCTTTGATGTTGTTGGCCCTTTCGTGAACTGTTTAACTACAACCAGCTTCACTTCCCCAACCAAAAGTCAGTTCAAAGGGGGGCAAAAACCCGACGCTGATTTCCAAGAAGGTCAAAACGGGACTTTTCGATAATGTTGAAGAGAAAATTTCCAAACAAACGTTGCAAGGAGAAATTCACGGAGGAGAACCGCTTCCTGCTAACGGGCTCGGTTGCGAGGAATTGGCGTCTGTCCTGACAAAAACGAGCCATGTGACGATTTCCACCGTTCTCCGGAGCATGCACGTTGGTTATGACGCGTCATGGCCGGCGGAAGAGATTGTCCCACGTGAGTTGCAGTGTGTGGCTAGTTTCACGGGGAAACGCTCCTTGTGCTTTGGTGTGTCCTTCTGCCTGTCCTCGGGAAAACATTCACCAGCCGTGCTCCTAATGGCCAAGCAGGTCTCCGCGATGCTTCGCCCAACGGTTCCATCCATGAGCAGTTTCCATGGGCACCAGGAAAGGAGGCTGGCCTTTCGGGGCACCAGGAAAGGAGGCTGGCCTTTCGCGCCACCGCTGCCAGCAGCAAGATTCAGGCTGGGAGGGTAATAGCTCGGGTCTTGCATCCCTGCAGGGCAGGAGTCGTTGTTCTCTGCAGAACCCTCAGGAGCGCTCCGCTTCGGTGACCTTGCATACGCCTAGAGACGGTGAGTCCTCACCTGCCCAAGACGGGGCCGTCTACGCTGCAGAAAGGCCTGTGCAGAGGGCCTGGCTCATCTGGCTTCCAGCTCGCAGGGCTCGTACCATGGAGCTGAAATAGCAGTGAGGCCGTTTAGCTTCCTGCTATTCATCAGGTGTTGCCTGCCGTCATCGGGGACCTGCCCCTTAGGCTGGGGCAGCAGAGGGGCCGCCCTTCCCCAAACACACCAGCGTTGAGGCAGCGTGGTTCAAGCCATATTTCCACGGACACTCGTAGCCAGACGTACTTCTCCGGCCCTGTTCCCGCACTACCTGAGCGCCTCGTGGTGGGTAGGGAAGGGCCATCGAGCCCCCATTACAGATGGGGAACTAAAGCCCAGATTCTCAAGGGCCCATAGGCTCCAAACTTGCCCTGAAGTCACTACTAGAGTGAGGTATTAAGAGACTTTCAAGCCATATTTCCACGGACACTCGTAGCCAGACGTACTTCTCCGGCCCTGTTCCCGCACTACCTGAGCGCCTCGTGGTGGGTAGGGAAGGGCCATCGAGCCCCCATTACAGATGGGGAACTAAAGCCCAGATTCTCAAGGGCCCATAGGCTCCAAACTTGCCCTGAAGTCACTACTAGAGTGAGGTATTAAGAGACTTGCCCAAGGTCACACGGAAGCCTGTGGCAAAGCAGAGACCATAACCCCATGTGTTCTGATCCAGCCAGCTGATCCTTCTCCCCTCCACTCCCCAGCCTGTCTCCTGGGAGAAGATCCTTTCGCATGGGGCCCTGGCTCCACCCAGGCCCAGGGTCTGAGATCAGCCTGAGCCGCTGAGGGCAGAGAACTGAGCTCGGGGATAAAACAGAGTGAAAACTTTAGGGAGGGCTGGGGAAATGAAGGCTTTGCCGAACATTGTGGAGTGGAATTTGCATAAATCAGAGTAGAGATGCATGGAAGTGCGCAAATGTATGCTAATGGATGCAAACGACAGCAGACACTTCCAAAGCGGTGGCTGCTTCCTGGTTTGTTGCTAAATATTTCATGTGAAAAGGTGGCTAACGCACTCATGGGCAGGGGACCGGACCCATGGAGGCCAGAGCTCTTTGCCAAGCTTGGACACTGACTCCCTGCATGTCCTTGGGCGACTCAGTTGTCCTGTCTCTAAAATGGGTTATTGCGACTGTCCGCCCCACCCCCCTTTCTGCAAAGTGCTTTGAGATCTCTGGGGAAACATTCTGTACAAGTGCAAATGAATAACTAATGACTAATTAGGATCTATTATTCAGGGCTTAGATGCCCCAGGCGAGGCATCCAGCACACACAACGGGTGACAGCAAAGAACAATGAAATCGCTCACAGAACGTAAAAGCAAGTTAGAGCTGGCTCAGCCCCACGGACTGCCACAGAACCTCGGCTCCTCCCCTCAGCTCTGCATTCCGTCTTTCTAACGGCTTCGGTACTCACGTAACGAATCACACCGGCTCTTAAAGGCCAGAGCGTAATGGGGGGTGGTGGCCGGCCTGGCAGTTCCTGAATGAAGACTTGAAGATCCATTGTGTGTGATATATCCAGACAAACTCAGTCCTCGTGCAAGCAGATGGATCTCTGTGGATTTTAGTAGAGCTGCACCTGCTTACACCAATACTGAATTTCCCCCCACCTAGTTGCTTCCACGTAGCAAAGCATAGGTAGCAGGTTTAAAACTATCAAAAGGAAGTACTTCTTCATGCAATGCACAGACAACCTGTGGAACTCCATGCCACAGGATGCTGTGAAGGCCAAGACTTTAACAGGGGTCAAAAAAGAGATTGGTAAATTCATTCAGGTCCCTCAATGGCTGTTAGCCAGGATGGGCAGGAATGGGGTCCCTAGCCTCTGTCAGGGCTGGGAATGGGTGACAGGGGAGAGACCATGATTGCACCTTTCTTGTGCCCTCAGTCTTTGACAAGGGAGGCTTTGTTCCTCTGTCAGCCCGGAGCCGGCACAATGCATTCCTGAGTCCGGCGGCAGTCGCATGCATCACTGCACACCCGTTCTCTTCTTATCCGTGGAACTGGCGCCCTGAAGCCATGTTGCTGCTCTCCCGGCCTGGGAGCTGGGTCAGTACCATGGTGTCCAGGCTCAGGTTGCGGGGCTCACCAGGCGGCACACTGGGCTCTGTCCTGCAGAAGACCTCAAGGGACAGCCAGGCCCCAGCCGTTGGCGTAGATTAAACTCGCCCTTATGGAACGGAGGAGCCGCGTGCGACGCCCAGAGACCTCGGCAAAGCGCCACTGGCCCGTGCGCTGGTTCTGCCTCCCTCGCGCAGTGGGGCAGCCGCCTCTTTTCTGAGGAGACTGCCAGACTCGCCCCCTCACCCTGGGAGACGGCCCCAATCTGCAGCCCCCATGTCCAGGACGCCAGGGCAGCCCCTGACGCCTCACTGTGCCCCAGGGCTGTCCCGAATGACTTGCTGCCCTGCTTGGGACGTGGGGCAGCCCTGCGGGAACGTCTCCCATCCCCGTCCAGAGGCCCACGCACCCACTAATCATGCGCCTCGCGGTGGCTGTGCTACCCCCAGGACAGCGGCTCTGTTCAGGCTGCTCGTGCCCCTAGAAATGCCTGAGGGGAACAGGAAATCCCGCGCAGACCCCCTCGCAGAGCGCCCTCCGGTGCATTCCCCAGGGAGTGCCGGGGATGGACGGGCCCCCACACCCCATAGATCCTGGGGGACCCAGCAGGGTCTCTGCTCTCTGCCTGGAAGCCCAGGGCATCCCTACCACTTCTGGCCCGCCCAGGGCAGCTGCATGGGAGGAGATCCCCCTCCCTCATCAAGTCCGCCGGGGGAAAAAGCAAGCCAGGCTCTGGGTTGTGCATGAGGCTTGGCAGTGGGATGGTATCTGCAACTCCAGCCCTGCGACCAGCCCGCTGCACCACCCCGGTGTGCCCCTGCAGAACCCCCAGCCCCGAGGGGGCTCGGCCGGGCACTGGGGTATGGAAGCATGGTGAGCCGGAAGGAAGTGCTCCTTCTGCCCAGGGAGCAGCCTTCCCCTCGCCCAGCACCAAAGCCGGTTAATCCCGCCCCCCCCTCGCACCCATCAGAGCACCTGC